GAGTACATTTGCTTTATTTAGTTTGAATGCATACTTGTTTCATGCAAACAAAAATTTCTAGACTGAGATATCAAAGGATAATAGATTTAACATGAAAAAAGTCATTGAAACTATACTTATGTAGAAAAACAAAAAGATCATTACAGTTAATATTGTGGGAGTCAGTAGTCAATGGAAGCCTTTAAGAGAATAGTTTCATTAGAGAAGTAAATTCAGATTTCAGACTTAATAAATACATGGATTAAAAAAGAAACAAAAGCATTTTGATACATTTATTACAATAAGATGAAAAAATAGAATTGAAACAGAAATTTCAAATAACAATTAGCATAGCTTCCCCTGAAAAAGAGGTAACAGAAGAATAAAAGAAAGAATTGATCCTTTTAATGTGTACATAATACCTTTGACTGAATGAGGAATTCAGGGACATATTTATGAATCTTAAGGACATAAATAAAGAGTTGATGATGTGGGCATGCGCAGAAATGTGCTCTATGAACACATCCCCTCAATTTATTACTCCCATCTTACTGAACTTGAGCTTGGCTTTTTCACATCACATTCTGGAAATATCCTTTCTTCCCTGATACCGCCACAACTGAGGCTTTATGGTATGAAACTAAAAATAGAGACATTGTATTTATTTCCAAAAATATAAATGGTTTGATATAGTCCTCTAATAAGTCTTTGTATACCTTTAAATTTCTAATTTTTCACTTAGTCCTACAATGTGGAACACAGTACTACCATTAACGTCAATGTGTAAGTCTTCTGACTTAGTAGTGACCAACAAAGCGAACTCCAAACAGAAAAGGAGAGGGTGCACTGCTGACGCACACTGAATTATGAGCAAAAGCTATTTAGAAGCAAACTGATGGCTGAAAGTATTTAGAATAATACCTGTTTCATTTTCTAAATGTTGGGTCTTGGTTTGTAAACATTCTATTGCACATTTGGTAATAATCAATGGTCAAGTGAAGGTTGTCCCTAAGTAGTCTACCTAAAAACAACAAAATTTGAAAGTTCAAAATCACCTCAGTGAAATGTAATTATTAATGCCAATAAGGGTTAACATGAGAAGCTGACATGAGAGTAAGTATTCCAATTGTTGTCTTTAACTACCCAAACAGACTTTGTTTGTATTCTTTTGCTTAGGGAAAGACCTTCAAATATTTAATCTCTCTATTCTCTCTTATTATCCAATGGAAGAGAAAAATCAGTGATTGATTAGATTCACTCAAAAATATGTGAAAAAAACCTGACACATATACCAGTAAAAGAGAAAAGAAAGCCCAGAAATAAATCCATAGATTTACAACCAAATAATTTTTGACAAAGACACCAAGAACACACACTAGAGAAAAGCAGGTCTCACCAATAAATGATGCTAAGGAAACTGGATATCTGTGTGCAGAAGAATCAAACTAAACCCTTAACTCTCACTAAAACACATCAAAGACCTAAATATGAGACCTTAAACCTTGAAAGTGTTAGAAGAAAAGATAAGAGAAACATTTCAAGACACTGGAATAGGCATAGATTTTTTAATAAGATTCCAGAAGTATAGACAGCAAAATAAGTAGACAAATATATCAAACTAACAATTTTTTGCATAGCAGTGAAAACACTCAAAAGTGAAGGCATCAGCAGAAATGGATATTTACAAGGAGGAAATGGAGTAGAACTTCGGCAATACTTATTATCTTTTCATAATAAGTATCAGCCAGTTCCAGAATTCAATTTGAGGATGCAAGTCCCTGGATGATGGTCATTACAACCAAACTTTCTTTACTAACCTAACCAAATAAAAGCCTCAAAACAAATCTAATCTTGTTCAGTTGCCCCCTAAACAAATCATCTGGCAAGAGAATAAAGCTATGATAGCCTAAGCTGTGGCGCATCCTTTGCAGGCTTTGTTCTACAAAATGAATCTCGAAGAATACACAGAAAGATTTTTTTTCCCATAACCAGGAAATTAGTTTAACTGCTATAAAAAGGGTAACATTATTTTAAACTAATCAAGACAGACACTCATGTTTTTTCCAGGTGGTATACCAAAATAAAACTGTAGGGATAATATGGAAGCCCCATGGTGCTAGAAATTCAGATTTTTAAAAAATCTTGCCACTTTACTGTTCTCCACATACACCTTCCATTTCACACATAATGTATCTGTTGTAACTGCTGAGCTCACATTACCTTTGCAAACTAAAAGCAAGTGGAAGGAAGAGCAAGAGGATATATTTCTCCATTTAAAAGAGCACAACATGCCAGTCATGGGCAACACCTCTGTCAACACATAACTGACCAAATTATGTCCAAGACCACATCCAGCAGCAAGGGAACTCAGTAATGTGTTCATTAATGGTTGACCATGTATCAAACCAAAGAAAAAAGAGAGCATGCCCATCATGCGGGCACATCTGCTATGCCTTTTTGTTGCAAATTTGCAAGTTGTGATTTAGTGATAAGGTTGATCACACACCAAAGTTTCTTGCCAAATTTAAACACTTTCATCATTTTACTACATTGACCTAGCATACTCCTAGTGGAGTATGCTATTATCTTAGTTGTTATACATTGTATATTGTATCTTAATTATTGGCCTTCTAGAGATGCAGGTGAAGACTCAGAATTGCTATAGAGCAAAGTATATGAGCATTGTGGTTTCCAAGCACTTGCAAGATTCTGCTTACTTTGTACATATAATCACACGAGCAATTGCTGATCTTGCATTTGGACCGATAAATCCTAAAGGAAGAGACACTACCACATACTGAAAGTGTCCAAGCTCTGTACAGTTACTCAGTTCCTAAAACGCTCTATTTGTGGCCACGTCATCTGTAACCAGCACCAAACGCCACAAAGATAGATGTTTCAGGCTGAAATGAAGAGGCCAACTGCACGTTCCTAATCATTTAAATTTCTTTTAAAGGTTATAATAATTCAAATAAAAGACATACAAAGACTATGCATCAAACAGAAAAATGACCAGACCAGAAAAGTTTTTTCTTGGTGCTGGCAGCTACAGAGCTATGATGTATTATAAATGTGTATGTTTATATATATATATAAAATATTATATGGATATGCAGAATTTTAAAAAATATTTAGAGCATGCATTTATAAAAAATATTTCACAAACATAAGAGTGTCAAGAACATTAATAAAAAGGAAAAACTTCAGGCTTATTAACATTTCAGGAAGCTATGAAAACTACATTCCCCCAGATATAAAAAATATCAAAGAGGTTTCTGTGAAAAAAAGATATAAAAGAATCTGTTCAACTAAATTTTCGTGTTTCAGACTCTATTTAATTATTTTAGCCAGCTAAAATAAATGTGTATAGTTGATGTATGCTTTCAAAAAAAATTCTGTCTCTTTCATCTCTGAGATGAAGTAGCAAAAAGACAGGAAACTATACACAATAATAGTCTTAGTTATACAAGAAAATTATCACAAAATAATATGCTCTGAACCAGTAATCTGCTGTAAATTTTGGGGATTTATTTACTTTGCTCCAGAAATATATAGACTTCAGTGCATAATTAATGGATCTGGATGGAGCCCTATGTTGAGATTGCAAAAACTCATTTTCCTATGAGGAAGAACAAGGGAAGGACACTGATTATGAGGCTCATGAAAATGTTCGTGGTACAGATCACAGAAAGCAAAATCATGTTCCTAGTGCAAGGAGAACCCTGCTTCAGGTCAAACATCTGGTTTCTCTTGATGAAGAGCTCACAGAAAAAAGCAGTGTGTGTGTTTACTATATGACTATGTGGTGGGAAGAACCCAGGATAGTCAAGGTGTGGGAAACTTATCGTAAAATCTCTCTATATTGTCTGATGAGGTATCCAAAGTAAAGACTACCAGAACTGAGCCCACTCTCCTCTCTCATCACCAGGGAGCTAGATAGAATGCTATCTTCATGATCAGTTTTTTAAAGAGGAGAAAAATATCTGTTGCTGAGAATGATCCTAGTACAGATTTCTTTTTTTACTTTCACTAGTATATGTTTGCAGTTCATAATGATTGCATTCACACAGCAGATTTGAAGAAAACTGAGTGAGTTACTAGACGTAAGATATAATTCCTTCAAACTGTTCATATGCACTGATCATTTTTCTTATGTCTTCCTCATAAAATTAAATGCATTACATATGCTATATAATTTACAGCAAAACTGCTGTTAGTGGATGATGCATTCATTATGAATTCACTTTCCTCACTAGTGGCTGGGACAGTAACAACTTCACAAGCCCCTCCTTTGTTTACATGGGTTGCTATGGTGTTAGGGCAAGGACATAACACAAAACAACTAGAGAAAATGCACCCCGTGGTTGTAAAGTTTTCAAGTTCTTTGAAGTTGCACTTGCATTCAGTTTTGAAAATTTACTCTAGGAAAATGATTTGAGATACAGAAAACTGCTGTTGTCACTAAATTTAAAATAGGAAAGGACTAAGAAATATTAAACTTCCTCACACTATGGCAGTTATTAAATACTTTATCTGATGCATTTTATGTATTCCTGCAGCAAATTAAAATTTATATAAGTATAGAAAATGCTTATTTCAAACAGAAGGAAAATTATACAGATTTCTGTATAAAGTTATACAGTAATTGTATAATCTATGCTTTTGGAAAATAGATGAACATTACAATGAATGAAGCTGTTGAAAAAATAGGACACTTGAACGTTTTTACCCTTGGTTTGAGAGACATGATTTGTTTTTCCTTTTAACAATTTTCTTTCACATTTTAAAATGTAGTGCATATTACTTTGACAGATTTTGGCATATTTGTACATGCACACAACATACCTCAATCATTTTCATTACCTTCTTCTCCCTCTCTGGTCCACCTCCCCATTCCCCTCCTCTTTCCTAACAGTCTCCCTTCTACCTCTTCAATTTTTAATCTTTTTTAGTTTTTGAACTTCCCAAATTCTCCATAATGCATATGGATTTCCTACTTTGATAATATAATTTTTACTTACCTTGATTTATGACTCTTACTTGAGTTTTGAAAATTAAATTTCAAGACTTCTTCACCATAAGGGAAAGATATTACTCCAAATTTATTAACTGCAGGTGATTTGTTAATGGGCATGGTTACAGATCATAAACCTGAAGAAAAATATAAAATTTATTTTAGAATAGAAATTCACTCACAGTACTAAATAACATATATCCTGCAAATTCATGATTTGTAAAAAAGGGAGCAAGAATGACAATCAGGATTAAGAACAGATTATTAGGAAACTATTTAAATTTAAATTTAAACACACACCTGGGAATCAAGACTAACTTTGCTGCCAAAACCCATATGCTTTCTGCTGTGTTGCTATTACGGACATATTTGTTCATATAGTGTCTAACGTTTATTATAATTTAGTATTTTTTATTAGCAAAACCATTGTAAGAACAGGATAATAGCTAGGATGATAAATTATACAACAAGAGTAACAGGTCTACTTAACTGCTCTGCACGGGTTTTCTCACTTGTAAAATGGGGACAATGTCTCCTCACAGAGTCCATGTGAGAATAGTTTAGTATATGTCAGTTGGTTACAATAGAGGTTAGAATATAGGAAACTATATAAATGCTTGCAATCATTATTAGACCAATATGTCTGGTATTTTTAGGTAACTTCTCACTTCTGTTTATGGCTCTTGTCTTTTTATCATATAGATTATGCACTCTCAGCTTGCCCTCATCCATATTTCTTTTCCTTTTGAAGAATAGCTGATCATATTTCATGAATATATAACCAAAACTAGAACAGGTACTGTGGTTAATGGAGTATTTAGCTGGTAAAATCAAGTAATGAAATAGGTAGTCATATTAATACTTAGTGATTTTGCAATCCATTTTTAATAAAACTAAGTTTAAAAACTCATGATTTATATCAGAGGAGATCTTGCCAGGAAACAGGATATACTGAAATGGAGTGGCTGAAGGAAGGGAGGGGAAATGAGAGGAGGGGAAGGGCATGAAGAGAATTAAGATGCGTCATGTACACACGCCAACTCCCCACAAGGAATGTAAACATTCTGTACGGCAAACAGATACTAATAAAGAATAAAACACTGGCCTTTGTGGGTGGGCCGCTTTGAACCTAAACTGGAGTCCTTTCCTATTTTTCTTCTAACTATCCAATTAAAAATTTTTTCTTATAAAAAAAATTAAATGCTTTGCTATTGATCTGAGAGATGCAACCAATCTGAAGGAACTGGAGAATAAGAACTCTGAGCTCAGTCTCCATCCACACTCCTGTTTATCAGCTGCCCAAGCTTCCATTAGCTAAACCAAACCAGAAGCAGAAGGCACAGGCAAAGCAGAGAAGGTTGGAAAGCAGATGTGAAAGGCAATGGTAAAATATCCATCACAAAATGGATTTCAAACGCAAAGTGTCATTATCAATTGCTGCTAATATATAGCAAGGTCTCTTTCTAATAATTCACATCCTCTAGAATGTAATTCAAACATACTCTAAGTTAGCAGCAGTGCTAAAATATATACAGGGAGGAATTTCACTCAAAGTAGAGCTAAATTTAGTATAAAATAAAATTCTTCCAAAGCATGATTAATCTTTTTAGTGATATGTTTTCGTTAGCAGTTAACATCACCACATTGGACATTTCCACCTTAAGAAGCATTCAGGAACATGATCACAATTCCTGTCAAAAGTGAATGGTAAGATGCACTTAAACACAGCTTAAAGAATAATAATAAAAAATAGATAGATGCAAAGTGTTACCTTGATAAATCTAGTAATAAGCATTGCAAATGTGAGAAATATTGTGTCATATAAAACAATCAAGTTGTGTAAGGAAACTAAGAAAAATGTCTTCAAGATCAGGCCCACCATTCATAAAATGGTGCACATTTCATAATCCAGAAATGCAGTCCAGAAACAGAAGTATTAAGGAGACATACTATTAGATAAATTACTGAAAAACATTTAATGTCAGATAGATTGAGAAGAAAAACTATAGAGAAAAAAATGTATTGAAGAGAAATTCAAGGCAAAGTGCTCTTCGTGTATATTATATTAGCCACATAAGCTGTTTCCTAAAATATTTTACAGGGTTATCAATGATTAGTCATATTTTCAAGCTTTCAAACACTTACAGAGTAATTATTTTATATCACTGAAGGTGTTGCCCAGAGATCCTCACATTTGCTGGTGCTAGTAGTAGATAATTTGTACCTTCTGCCTGACATGCTAGTTACTTGATATCCTGATGAAGAGACATTCCCAGATTGTAGGGGAGGAAATGTTGCTGTAAACATTTCTGAATGCTTACTCTCTGTTTCCAACTCATCTTGATAAAACTAGAAAAGCGTATAATTGACACTGGTTTGTAAACAACTCCTTGGATAGTATTGTTATTATGAAGAAGAGATCACTGATGTATTTTATTTACATCCCTTGATGTATTTTATTGTCAAGGATTGTGTATTGGTTTGTGTCTAGATGTCCCCCCAAAAGCCTGATGCACTTTTAGATGAGTTATTTTGTTGTTGTTGTTTTGTTTTGTTTTTTTTTGGAAGTAGCTGAATCTAGACTTGGTAATTGATTCATAGTGCAATGCTGAGATTAAGAGTCCTGGGATTAAGGCTGGGTGATGGCTCGATCAGTACACTGATTGGATAGACACTGCCCTTATCCCACCAATCTGGATAAAATAAAAGGGTTCAAAAGAGGCTTGTTTTCTTTTTTTGCTGTTCTTGCTTTTGCTGTTTTCTATCACCATGCACTGTTGTCCCTCTGCCATGTGCCACCCTGCTGTGGAGACCGCTGATTATGGACTGAAACCTCTACAAAATGTGAGCTAAATAAACCTTCCTCATTTAACTTGGGTGTAAGGTATTCTGTCCCAGAAATGACAGAAATGTAAGTAAGCCAGGTTACTTTTGACTAAGAGTAATAGAAAACAGTAACAAAGCAATCTCATAGTTCCAAGAAGAAAAAAATTGCAGGCCTGCAAAAATGTTTCTAACATGATATTGGAATTTCTCACTTAGGTATAAATAAGGAAAACAAGACTTAAAAGTGATGCTGCTCCCCCAAAATCAAAATATTGAATCTGAAATGTCTTCAACTTTTGCAACAAAGTTTAACCCTGTTCTAAAAATAATCTTCATAATATTCTGAGTAGACCTTCAAATTTAAATTTATCAGTAAAAAAATTATTATTATCACTATTAGAGCATTGCAGTAGGTCCTCCTTATAGTCTATGATATTTGAGATTAGCTTTTCACTTCCAACATAAAGCATATAAAACCAGAAAAAAAATGTAAACATTTAATTATTTTAGCATGCTACTTTTATAATTACTCTAATTTACATGCAATCTAGTTTTTAGTTTCATATAGCTAAGCTACAAAGGTAAAACTTTTATCATAAATTTATTATAATTTAAAAGCTTAACTAAGAGACTCAGCAGTTCTACATTCTAAAGTGTAGAGGACGCACCCTAGGGTGGGTGGTTTGCTCTCCTCCCTTTTGCTCCTGCTGTTTTTGCTGTCTTCTGCTGCCTTAAACTGTTGCCTCTCATCATGCCACCCTGCCTTGGAGCCAACTGATTAAAGACTGAAACCTCCACAAACTGTGAGCTAAATAAACCTTCCCTTCCTTAATTTTAGGCATCAGGTATTTTATCTCAGCAATTAGAGAAAAATAACACAGGAGGCTTGGGATTATAGTATCAGCATCACCCTTTTGTGACTTCCTATTACCTTTTTAGGGGTGGGTCATCCTCTCCCACCCACTAAGACTAAAACAAAAACCACTAAGATTAAAGAACACTCAAGGGCAAGATCTTTTCCAGTAAAAGATCACCTCCACCCTCTGAGTCATCCAATAATCTCTTCCTCAAATCCCCTTCTCCATCAATAAATGCCAAGGTTCTAGGCGCCTCATGGCCTTTTGCTCCTTGTGAATAACTGGTCATGCTGGATCCCTGCTGCCATTTTGTCTCTTGTTCTTTCTTTCTCTCTCGCATGTGCCATCACACCTCTCAGGAAACTGGGGGCTCACTGCAGGGGCTCACTCACCCCAGTAATAAACTAAACAATGACAGTATGATTTCAAAGAAATAAAAAGCAAAGAATTTCTACTACTCTTTCACAAGTGTGTCACATGGAATTTGTATTTAAACTGCTAAAGCAAAAGTATATTATTGCTAAATATGTAGCATTTAATGAAGCAATAGCATCATTCTTTAAATTTCATTTATGTAAAATGTAAATGTCAACAGGAAATGCCATTATAATTTTTACTCATAGATAAAAGAACTGAATCACCTGAAAATTAAATGACCTACATGATGACAGAGACATGTTCTGTTTTGGTGCAGGAATTACATAAGGTGTCGATTTCCACATTGCACGCTTACCCATCATACCACACTGCCATCTGAGAGGAGACAAGGGACATAAGGACAATTAGCAAGTTTCAGGTTATTTGTTTTTGTTTTAACGATTGTTTGAGTTCCTTATATATCAGGATCTTACACACTTGTGTTTTTAAAATCTTTTTTCCCAGTTTCTATCTTGATTTGAATCTTGGGAAACTGAGTTGAGAATCCATCTGAATCTGCCTGGAATTATAAGCAACAGAATTGTGAGATAGTATATAAATATCATTAAAATCTCTAATTTGGGGCAATTTGTTTTGGTAGTAATAGAAATCTAAAAGAAGATGTTCCATAATCTAGCAATTACCGTTGATGTGATGATCTTGGTACAATCTACAAGGTTATCCCTGAGCATTTTATACTGTGATGCAGTGTTAGAATTTATTTTTTCTTAAAAGAAGATTCATTAGGGGCTGGGGATTTAGCTCAGTGGCACAGCACCTGCCTGGCAAGTGCAAGGTCATGAGTTCGATTCCCGGTACCAGGAAAAAAACCAAAATAAATAAGTAAATAAATAAAGATTCACACATAAGAAGCCCATGAATCCTGAATCTTTTACCTTCTTCAACTATAATTTAAATTAAATTTAATAGGAGAACTTACAGGAGTTTTCTAGTGGTGAAAATAGAAATGCCCTTTAGTTTGGAAATACAACATTATTTTCTTTATATTGGTTAAACATTAAAATTAATATTTGAAATTAAAAAGTTTTTTTAAAAAATGTTTTCTATTCTTATCACACCTATGTTTGGCTCAATTTTTGCTACAGATATTATTAAAACACAGACATAATCAAGATACATTCCTGTCCTAGTTACTTTTCTCTCTTTGCTGAGACAAAATACCTAACACCCAAAGTTAAGGGAGGAAAGTTTTTTAGCTTGCAGTTTGTATAGGTTTCAGTCTAAAATCATCTGGCTCCAAGGCAGGGTGGCATATGGCAGAGGGTAACTGTTCATGGTGGGTAGAAGACTGCAAAACCAAGCAAAAGGGAGAGACAAGACTCTTTCTGTCCCTGATGTTGTATTCAGACTCCCTGTCCAAGGGTGGGTGTAGCACTCACATCCTTAATCCTAGCCAGAGCTATGCCAAACCAATCAGTGGACTGACTTACTAGTCACAAACCCTTAATCCTAGCCTCACACCTAGATTCAGCCACCTCTGAAAAGCCAGGTTCTCCAGACTGCATGAGGCTTTGGGGTACCTCTAGACACAAGCCATAACAACACCTTATTTTATTTGGTGGATACTATTAAAATCCAATTTAGATTAAAATTTAAAATCATGAAGAAGATCATCTGTCATATTAAAATGTTTGACATTAACAATGTTTGTTCCATGTGTGCATATGGGTTGATTATTTAAAGACTTTAATGTTTAGGAACAGTTTTAGGTTAAGAGCAAAACAGAGAAAAAAGTACAGAAGTTTTTCACATACATCCTACCCCGGATGCATGGATAGTCTGTGTCATTATCAATATCCCCTATGGGAGAATTTTGTTTATGAGAATTGATGAACTTACATTGATATGTCATAATCACCCAAAGTCCTCTTGGTGTTGTGTGTTCTGTGTACGTTATAAAAATGTATGACATGAATCCATGAAGTATCATACATAGTATTCTCACTACTTGAAAATTACCTCCACAATTACTGAATATTTTACTGTCGCTATAGTTTTTTCTTGTCCCAAATTTCTTATTGTTGAAATCATATAATATGTAGTTTCTTAAGATTGCCTTTTTTCACTTAGTAATAGTATTTAAGGTTTTTCTTGTTTTTTCATGTATCAGTAACACACTTCTTTCTAGTGTTAGATAATAGTCCAATATAAATATATATATAATAGTCCATTATATATATATATAACTTATATATATAACTTTATTTGTTCATTTATCTACTGATGGACATCTTGGTTGTTCCCACGTTTTGACAATTATGAATAAAGCTACTACTATAAACATTTGTGTGCAGATTTTTCTATCAACCTAAGTTGTCAACTCTTAAAGCAGGAAGGTGGACAGGAAGGACGGGTACTAGATTTCTATGCTGTTCCTCTAATCCTTACACAAGCTTTACTTTTCTAGTCTGTAAAAGGAGATGATAATATGTACTAAGCAGCATTGCATGAGGGTTAAATAAGAAAAATACTTCCCATTGTAAGATGTCAATTTCTGGAAGTTCTCTTTCTTGAGTGGCATTATGAGATGTGATCCAAAAATACAGCAAATGGGGCTGGGGATTTAGCTCAGCGGCAAAGCGCCTGCCTGGCAAGCGCAAGGTCGTGAGTTCGGTTCCCAGTACCGGAGGAAAAAAAAAAAAAAAATACAGCAAATGGTGCTGAGTGCCATCCAGTGGAACAGGTCCCCATCCACTTTATTCACTGCACAAGGCACCATGCAACTTCAAGCTCTTCCCCAAAGTCAAAATGACTGTGACAAGTAAATATTTTGAATGGATTCAGGATGTCAAGACAGCCACCACAGCACAAATAAAGACACTCTTGAAGGCCAGGTGTGATGGAACACACCTGCAATCACAGCACTGTAGGAGACTGAAGCAAGTGGATCAGAAACTCAAACCCATCCTGGGCAACTTAGAGAGAACCTGCCTCAAAATAAAATAGAAGAGTGGGTGGTATAGCTCAGTGCAAAGGCCCTGGGTGCAATCCTTAATATCAAAAAAAGTGATGGGGTGAAAGGGCTCATAAAAAAGGACCTCTACAACTGCGCAGAAAGTAACAAGAACAATGGGATAAGTGTGTTTGAAACCCAAGGAAGCATTCTGAGGAGGAATAAAGGCAAGGTATCTTTTACTGTAATAAATTTTCTTTAAACACATGCTGTATTTTTTTATTGCACCTCATACACATATTAAAAACACCAACTGCAAGCTACAATATTGGTGTAAATAGAAAAGTAAAATAATATAAAACCATATTCCTTCTGGAAATAGTTAAAAAAGCTTTAAGGTGTTTCATTTATAAAAAAGAAATAATAATTTTGTCTTTCACACTTAGGTCTTTAATTTATCCAAAAGTGAGTTTTATATAATACAGCAGAAGGGTGAATTTCAATTCTTATATGGATAACCAGATACACAGGTAGGTAGACAAATGAAAGCTTCCTTCTTTTCTTTCCTCTGTTGTGATAACACTCCCAGCTTCCTCAAAAAAATGGCTAGGAACTGCACCTGAAAAAACTAGACCCAGTATCACATCACAGGCATCAAAATCTTCTGACATAACTGTGTGCCCAGAAAGGGTACACCAAACCAGGAAGGAACCTAAGATAGGACAATGATTCAATGACCTGAGGTAGTCCTCAATAATTTCTTGATCCACAAGCACTCAGGACCTTTGTATAAACCCGTGGAAAGAGCATGCATAATAAAAACAGAGACTGCATATCCAACAGAAGCTTGGAGTATAAACTGTCAATTTAAAGAAGGTACCTGTACTACTAGTCACTGGGACAAAATACTGAACACCCAAAACTTAAATGAGGAGAGGTTTATTTTGGCTCATGTTTCAAAAAATTCAGTCCATGTTTGCCTGGCTACAAGGCACAAATGGCATGGTAGATCACAGCTGAGGAAAAGGTCTCCACTGGTGGCCTCCAGGAAGCACAGAGAGAAGGGAGGAGCCTTTCAGGCCATGCCCCAGACACCCACTTCTGTCAGGCCCCACAGCCCAAGAGCATATTCAGCCATAAACTCATCGATGAATCAACTACTGATGAGTGTAGCGGCCCCATGATCCAGTCACCTTCCAATCACGAGACCCCGGGGAGACATTTGCGACCCAAACCACAACAGTACAGAAATATTATTTCCTGAACACATTAAGTTCCTCAACATGATTTATAACTACTGCATGCATTTTAACTTTATAGTACTAAACATACTGGCACTTTTTCCAGAAATAATAACCATAAATATAATCCTTAATTAATATAAAATAGCACTGTTCAAAATACTGGAACCTGAAATGTTTAAAGTGTTTATAGATGATTTAAGAAGCCTTGGACAATGAGGAAAATGAATTTTAAAACATCATTAAAGTTTAAGTAGGAACTATTTCCATTCATCTCCTATCAATCACTTATTTACTCATTTATTCAGGAAAGAGGCAATGAACTGATGCTAACATGACAAAGCCTTGTTCTGAGACACTTAGTTAAATATCTTCAATCTCTTTTATTCACCATAGGAAGCCATTTGGCTTTGATGCAAACTGTTAACATGATAAATGCTTTGTAAAGGAATCACAAAAGTGGATGTAATTGTCCATGAATTCTTATATGGGGTTTATGTTGTGTTCCAGTAATTTATTTGCAACCTTCAATATACATTAAAAAAAAAAAACATACATACACACACACACCCCACAAACCAAAAATAAAAGAACATTTGTAATCATTATACACTTAGTAGTACCAAAAGTATCTACATTATTCATTTTAAGTAGTTCTCATTTAGGAAATTCAATTTGGTTGATGAAAGTATTCACGATGTTTGAGATTCCTACATTTAAAAGAAACAAAGGTAATTAAAATATGGTGCATTCTCTTAAGATACCCTAATCTAGAGAAAAAGATTGGCCTGAAGAACAATAATATCACATTTGAACATGAAGTCCATAATAAGACTACAAGTGATTTTGAGGGGGAAACACATAAGGAAAAATTTGATCATTATCACACTATGTGTGTGGCAAGAACTAAAGGAGTAGTCGAACGTATATTTATATGACACATTTTACATCTTTCTTTTAAGTTGCCTATTTTGGCCTTGAGCTCAAGGACTTTAAATCTCTTTAGCTAATAAGCAAAATACTTAAAATGTAAGAGTAATAAATAATAAAAATTTTTCAGTCCAAACCCACCAAATAATATGAAGAACTTTAGTTGTTCTTTTGGTTTTTTTCTTCTTTTTTTTAGCCATACCTATGTCAAAATCTTCAGGTCATCCAGAAAAAGTAGAAGAATTACAGAA